CTATTTCTGGTCTTTGTTTTTAACTGGAGCAGAGGTACAGGGCATATTGTGTGGAGGAGCTGGGCCCCTGAGGCCAAGACAAGGACCAGGGATATCCCAGGCAACAGAATTAATACCTAACATTCCACCTTGGGAATGAACCCAAAAGGAGAACCAAATAGAATTTCTACTATCAGGAGACATACATATCTAGTTGCTTGTTAAAGGTATGGATAAACATAGTCATTAGTTACTTTGCACTCATACTGATACTATACAACTTGCTCTTCTCTTGTTCTCTTGCAAAAGATACAATGATCATGTTTCAGATTTAATGTACACAAAATGGTATTTGATTAAAAGAATAATTTATCACTGCTATAAATCCATTAATGCAAGATAAAAGCTGAAAGATTCAAGAATGTGATCACATATAATCTTGAAATGTAATTGAAATATCAGTTTTAATCTAATTTTATCATCTCTGCCAGTTGCTTCTGAAAGCATGCAGTAAAAATATGGGTATTTACTGGAGGTTTGTTAGAATATATCTTCATGTGTGGCTGTGAAAGGAGAGGTCAAGATGGATCAGTTTTCCATAGTGCCATGTGATGCTCTACTATGAGCCTTGTGAAACCCTAAAGCAGTTTTTATATTGTTCAGGTTCTTACTGAAGATTAGCAGCAGAGAGGAGGATTTATCAGAAAAGTGATGAGATGTTTCTCATTTGTGTTTGTTTCTTTTATTGAGATTGATGTTGTACAGGCTTCTCCCCTTATGTAGCTCACTTGTTCTATCTGATCTACAAAATTAATTAAGTCCATTCCGTGGAAAAAAAATACATGGATTAATTTAAATCTCATAACAATATGTAACCAGGAGCAAGGAAAGTAATTAATACTATAAGTTAGAGATAAACCACAAAATTCATAGAAGAGTTCCTAACCTATTGTAAATTTACTGTGAGATTACATCTGTATGCAGTCATGAAACATAGTGTTCCAAACACAGTTATTCCTGAGAAATAGCCAACTTTTTTGCATTTAAGAGGAAAACTCTTTTTGTCTTGTTAGGGGAGGGCAAAGAGTCCTCTCCAGACTCAAATTGCTGCATGTATCACTAAACTCTGTGCTCTTTCTGGAAAGCAACATCTGCCTGTGCTGGGCCCAGCTGTTCTTTACCTGCAGCAAACTAAAGGCTGCTTTCTGGGGGCTAAAATCACATTTCCTTCACTGGCTGAAAATTCTTCAGCATTGTCCTAAACTATTTGAAAACTAGATTTTCAGTAACAACGTTGCCACTCAAATTGTATTCAATGTCACTTTTTGCTTCCAGGACTTCCACCTATTTTTTTGGTTGATTGATATATTTTCTGTGTAATAGCACAACTACTTAAAGGGATAAGTTTATTTTAGCACTTACATGTGTAAGGAAAAACTTATTATTTGTGGGAAAAACTTATTTTAGTGGGGTGGACTTAGTTATCCAGCTCAATTTGAAGCCTTGATAGTAACCTTTGAAACTTGATGGAAATGTGAGATCAGGTCTTGATGAGGATGAAAACCTAATCCTAGAAAAGCTAAATTTTACTTGGTGTACACAGCTGAAAGTCCCTTCTTGTGATGCAAAGATTTTAAAAAACATTTAAATTCCACAGTGCTTGTGGTTTCTTGATCATGCTGGGAAAAACTAGTAGTGCTTTTGTGGGAGAATTTCATATTATTGGAGAGTAATATTGTACCACTGTGCGTTTTAGACACCCTAGTCAGTGACCAGACCATTACGTTTAGGGATTTGCACAAAAAGAGAATCAAAGGGTGGCCTTAGTAGGGTTGAAAGAAGAGGAATCTAAATAAAGAAAGTAAAGAGGAAATGAAGGGGGGAAATAGCATAATATTTATCATTATGTTAGGCAGTTTTGCCAGTGGCCATACTGTTTTCAGAGAGAGTTATAAGGGAGAATTTTAATGAAGCAATCAAGAGGTTTATAGGAAGCTCCTCCCACAGACCATGAAAGAGACCTTGAAAGTGAACAGCAAAAAAATAACTTCCTTAATCCTTCTTTTGTTCATTTTTCCTTCCTTCTCATTTTACAGTTTCAGTTAAATTGCAGATTCTCCAACTGGACCACAAGCTACAACAGGCTGTGTGTTAATCCAGACATCTTGTATCTGCCTTTGGATGGTCTGGGGAAGAAGCTTTTTATGTCATGTCAAAAGCTAAATTCAAAAAGCAAAAAAACCATCTTCCTTCGTTTTTTAGCACTGCTGTGTAGTACTGTAGTGGTTGAACCCTTATCTGTGTCTGTTCTGGATAGCACTTGATAAAGATGACTGAGGGAACAGTTTTCCTGACAGTGCAATGCTCCCTGGAATGATAAACTCTGGCTAGTGAGACTGAGTGTGTAACTTCAATGAATCCACTCTTACATTACCGTAGAGAATATCATGCACTGGAAAATGAGTGAGTTAAATGATCTAATAAGGATTTGCCATCTGTAATTTCTTGCATATTAAGTATGCTTTCCATGCTTTCCCTTCCTTTTCCAGCTAAGATGAAAGCCTTGGTTTTCCTAAAAGAAAGAGCAGGAAACCTCTCTTGCCTGAAGGTGAAGGGGTCTTTCCTGCACAGATAAATCTTAACTGCAGTTTTTATTGAGAATGCTTTCTTGGGTGGGAGAGAAAGCTTGCTATGGTGGTTGGATGTATGGGAGGAAGGGAATTTAGCAGCATTGATTCAAGCCCTGCAGGAAATAGTTTTCCCTTTTCCAAGATACAAACATCCATAGCAGGTTTCGTGTCATTTGGGATTCAATTTCTTTTCCAAATCAAGTGAACTGTGGTACAAGAGTTCAGAGGCAGTTTAAAAGTATTCTCTCAGGTCAACTTTGGCCCCAGCTGCAAAATTCTAACAAATGTTTTTATTAGTCTCTCCTGTTTCTGAGGGTATTTTCTCACTCTATCCTTTTGTGAGCTTTTTATTTTCCCTTTGCTGATCTTGAAGTGCAAACACTACTTGATTAGTGGCTTACATCTGAAATCAGGGAGAAAATTGACCTACCCTGAGATCAGTTTTTAAAAAAGGGTACATTTTCTTACCTCCTTTTCATGAGTGCCATGCAAAGGCTAGCAGAGGGCACAGTGAAAAATAGCTGCAATGTGTAAATCTGCAGAGGGCACCTGATGAATCTGTAGAAGGACCTTTGCATGGCCCTGCCACTTTCTTAAATGTTTTTGCAGCTGCAAAGGGAGTTTCCTTTATTCTTCCCCCAAGACTGAGGTCATTGGTGGTGCTATATTGCTTCTAATGTATTTTGTTAGCTGCTTTCTCAAGAGTGTGTACCAGAAAACATATTGTACCTCAATAAAGTAAACTGAGTATGCAAATATCCCAGTCAGAGGTGTTTAAAAATGCTTTGGGGAACAATTTTCAGTAGAATAAATAAATTTTTAAAAAGTTAAATCTAATCCAGTCCATTTATTGATAAGTGTAGCTAGTCTTTCACATCCTAGTCTTTCATATTTCTGTGCAGAGACTAACTGTCAACATAACAGTCTTTTGAGATATGCTGGCTGCCAAGTATTATCCTGGTTGTAAATATGAAAGAAACCAATGCAGAAACACCAGTCAGGCACAGATGCATTAGAGGGTAGAACTGTCTGCCTGCAAGGCCACCTCCTGCATGCATCTGTGTATGTTTTTGTGGGTGTGTACACACACACACAAGCTGAAGATGTGCATGCTCTTCTTTCCCAAAGGAAAAAGGTGCATTCTCCCTGCTTTCCTCAATAAATCTGGATGTGAGAGAAGATGCTGACAATTAGACACTGGAAGCAGCTGTGGAGCCTCTGGCTATCTGAAGCAGCTTTAACCCCTGATTACCTGCAGTTGCACAGAGCTCATCCCTTTTGTTTAAGGCTGTTTGAATTGGCCTCTTGTTTTTGCCACCAGCACTCTTCCCTGGATGCATGAAAAATGAGCCCATGTAAGCTTCCATTCAGCTTTCTTCAAAGATCTGGGTCAGGTTTTATTCCATGAGGTTATTGCACATGGAGTTGGTTTTGGTGTGTAGTTAGAAAGTTTTGTCTTTTCATGCACCACCAGGGTGTTTGGCTTCCTCTTCCACTGCAGTCACTGCTTATATTTTAAATGAGATTTCACTTGCATTGTTTTCATTTTTTTTATTATCTCTGGAAACAAAAAGGTCAAAACAGGGTTCTGGTTGTGAATGTAGAGACAAACAGGAGCATACAGCCTGTAGGGGTTATGACCAGGGGACAAAGGAAAGACAACCACTGACGTGTAGTCAGAATTCATGTCAATGTGTTTTAATCTGTTATGTCAACACAGTAAGTAAAGAGTGGAATAGGAAGAAGAGCACCTTAACACATGATGGCTGCTGTGATGATTCACTCCTGTTTACGACATGTTCATGCAGTGCTAGATGTTCAGGAGGATATAGATGCCACCCATTTCTCCCAGAACAAAAGAAGACTAAGTTTAGGGCAGAAAATCAAGAAATTGAACATTTTTAGAAATGTCTACTTGATGAAGGGGAAATTAATTTAGGCAGATGGTAATATATTTGAAAGGTGGATCATAAAAGGAGGCATAGCAAGGTTGTGCAAGGTGCTAAAAGGTTGATAGACCAGGGAAGGCCAGCACTGGTAACAGCAAAGAAAACATAATGGAATAGAGCAAACCAAAGATACAAGGATAACTTTCTACTTAATGAGATATGCATAATTCAGCTATTTTCTCTTAGCTTTTTAATTGTGTTGCTTCCTTCCTGGCCATTTATGATGCCCTAAAAATACTGTTTTTTTAGCTATTTGTGGAATGTTTGTGAGAAGCTTTCCTATATGTTTACTGTATAGGTTCTAATCACTCCTCTGATTTTAGATAGGGCATAATTCAAATGGATCCTAACTGAATCTCTTGGATTAGACAGCTTTGTATGCTAAAAGAACTCCAATTCACCTGCAGCTCTAAAGTCAAAGTAACTTAGTCCAATCATAAACTGGAAGAACTTTCCAATTTATTGATGGTCAGATCCAAATCCAAATGGATGTCTCAGGACTACCTTGGGTACAGACCTGGATCCAGAGTTAAACTCAGAACAATTAGGAACTCTCTTATCATCCAGATGTTTTGAGTTAGTTCATGTTTTGCTAGAAAATCATCTTGGACTTTGAGTGAGAAAAACACTTTTTTTTCCCTTCTGGGATAATGATAATTTCATTGGATTACATAGGCAGTGTCTTTTGGCTTCCCTTCGGTCTAGCTTCTCTATCCTCTCAGTGTCCTGTGGATACATAAAAATAATTGTTGATTAATTGCCAGTAAAACAAGAAAGAAATTAGATTTAGTTCAGAGAGACTCTTGTGCCAATGGGGCTCAGCTTTGTTCAGACTAGGCTCAGACTACAAATTCATAAGGAATAGTGAAAAATTGTCACAGAAAGGAAAATATCAGTTTTACTCTACTGGATTTTAATTTAGTACATAAATGAATAAGTGATTTTCATCAATAATGTAAATTCCCATTTACTTTCACAAATGAAGTGGAACTCTAATACTAAGTTTTATTAGGACTTTGTATTCCTGAAAGCTACCAGGCAAGGGAAACTCCTTCAAGCCAAGTGAAGTTATTTTCCATATTTTCTAATAACAGGGTCTAATCTCTATGCATTCCTTACCCAGAGTAATTACTAACTGCATCTTTGGGATTAGAATCTGGTTGTGTCTCTTCATTTCCTATGGAAATTATGTGTGTTCAGTACATGTCTGAAGTGACCTCCTGCAATATTCCAGAATGTTTGTTAACATCATAACACTCAACAATACTTTATAGCTTGAAATTCGATTTTTATTTTCTTAAAATTTGCAAATATTTATTTCCCTATTATTTTCCCTTTTCTATTTACTAAGTCTGACTTACAGCTTCCTCTGTCTTTCTAAATGGGATATTTGCTGCCTGATCTTTTTTGTCCGCATACCGTTGTAATAGAAACAGGTAATAATAGTGATGTTTGTACTCATTCCATCCCAAATTGTACCTGTTGTATGCATAAAATAATAGAAGTTAAAAATCTTGTAAACATTATTTTTTTTTCTGCTGGGTAGGGTTTGAGTTTACCTGCTCCTTCTACACTGATGTCCAGCTATCTGAAGAAATATCATTTACTTAGCCAGAGCTCCCTGGAAAATTAGGTACTCAGAGATAGAGTTATTCCCTGCCTTCCCAAAATACCATTTTAGACTTGTACCTCCTGCAGCTTTTATCTCCAAGAGCTGAAATAATGCAATAGATTTCAGTAGTCAGTGGGGCTTCATTCCAAAGTGCCCATTACACAAGAGGAAGCACGAACAGTAAGAGTCACTGAAGTCAGAGCATTTCAGAAAAATAGTCCAGGGTTTTCTCATCTTGAGCACTTCCACATGGTCACAAACATTTGGGTGTGTTATTTCTGTGGGACTATTTGCAGAACAAAGTGAAAAAACTGGCATGCTGAATATTGTGTGCGTGCATGCTTAAATTTTTCTTCTAAGTTTCTTTTTTAAAGCATGATATTTTTTACCACAAAATGTAAACTAATACTCAGAAATTGAAAACTGGGGAAAAACTGGTAAATATTGCAGCTCCCTGAATAATCTCCCCTATTTTTTTTGCCTGCAGCCTTGGTGAGCTCTGGTTAGAGTAAAAGTGGTTATGCTGTTGAGCAGGAGAGTTTGCAGGCAGACACTTGTACATGGAATTATTGGCCTATCTTTTCCACAGAAAATAGCACTTAGAAATCTTCCTGCTGTGAAGGGACAGCATAGGCAGTGACCCACAGCCACGGCAGTAATCATCTGCTGGGGGTGGGGAGCAGTCTGTCAGCTCTGTGGATGCAGCTTTTGCTTCTGACTGCTCCTGGTGGTGATGTTCCTGCCAAATAAATTGGGCATAGAGGGAAGAAGTATGATTACTTTCCTTATCTAGAAGAAAAGTCTCAAGGGAAGACATAAGAAATATATGAAAATATATTCCTGTTGTACAATCAGTGAGAGGTAAGACTTGCTGCTGTGATCTGGACTATAGGAGTACTCAAGTAAAAATTTTGTACAGCCAGAAAACTGTAGGGAAATAAAACAATTCCTCTTTCATGACTTTCAATGGACAAGCTTCAGGCTTTCTGGAAGTTTGAATCTGTCCCATGATTTATAGAAAGCCTGGGAATGATTCTGCACTTCCTTGGATGCTACAGAGTGGTTTGTACCTCTGTGGTTGATGAGCACGACAGCTTGCCCCAAATCAAGAGCCCTTTCAGGTGGTGCTCCCAGCAGGTCTGTTTTCAGTTTGGTAGTTTGAAATTATAAACTCCATACAATAAAACTAGAGACAGAAGTGTTTCTAGGTTGCATGGCTACCTTTTAAAGCTTTTTATTGGCTAGTGCAGCGCTTGAATGTATCTGTGGGCAGGCTAGAGAGGGCACAGCTTTGGGAGAATGGCTCTGAGGGACTGGCCCTTCATCACACTGCAGAGATCCTTAAAATGCAGGAACTTCAAATTAATTCTGTCCTGCGAAAGAACACCTTGCAAGTGTGCTTACAGAAGATGCAACATGACACACGGGCCAAACTCCAAAAAGCAGGGCCAGATCTGGAGCTGGTGTAATTCAGCGCAGTCCTGGTGGCTGCAGGGCTCAGCTGATCGAGTTCAGCTGCGTGGCATGCGCTGGTGTGAGTGCTGAAGGCATTTGGTGGTAGTAATTATGAATGATTGTTATCAGATGACAACATGTGGGGACATTTGGGTTGTTTTAATTCATTAGAAGCCTGGGAGTAAAAAAAAAAAAAAAAAAGATAAGGGAAGGACCAATAAAGAGTGGGTGAGATATTTTACTGTCTGCTTAAGCAGCAGACAGGGATTACAAATAGGCTGTTGGAGAAGCTTCCTGCTTTCCAATGCATGGGATAACCAAGCAATTCAGGCAATTCAGCACACACACTTCAGAGGGCTGCTGTCAAGAAGGAAAAACTGAATCTGTTTCATCAATTATCCATCCTTACCCCTCAGTGTCACACAACATAAGGAGGCCTCCCTGCTTTTCTAAAATGCTCTTTTATAAACTGAAGGGACCAAAAAGAAAGTTTCCTGTGCTTCCCCGGTACTTTCCTACTGAAGGGTGAGCTGCTGATAGTCTGCAAATTCTGAAGAATTTCTTCCCCCTTGGTTGCTGTTTAGTAATAATCTACACTACTTAATTTAAATTATTCTTGTTACTTACAAATTTTCTTAGAATAACTCAAGATGAAACTGAGGCATTGGTATCATTGGCAAAAAAAAAAAAATAAAGGTCAAAAGCATGTTGTTTCTCTAGTGAATAATGTAAAAAAATGTTTTAATGGAATTCTAAAGGTTATTGTAAGGCCAAATCAGAATTCTGTATGGGTGTGAGCATTTTATGTAAATATGCAATCAGCATGTGTAGAACACTGCTCAAACATTATGACTGCAGAGGATATACATTTCTTAACTCTCCAATTAATAATCATAATGTTGTTCACATTAAATCTGTTTTGCACCATTATTTCCATTGGTCAGGCTGATACACTCACACTGAACAAAATAATAACTTAATCTCTCTGTATCTGTGTTAAGTTTTAAAATTAAAACAATAATTGAGCACACCTGCTGTTACCACCACTTCTGTTGAGACTTCTGTTTTGAAAGTAGATATCAGGATTTTTAGCAGCAGTCTCTGTAAGACTCACTTGGAAATTCCTGACAAATTTAGAATTCCATGTGCATATGCTGACACTGCCTTGTCTGTGCAGTGCATCTAAAGCATACCAGGCACTGAAATAAATGATGAAAATGGAAATATGGCATGTTTGTCCAATCCTTTGTCTTCCTTGTCCATTTAAAGTAATTTTCTGTGGCTTTTCTCATTATGTATTTGCACATCTACCATAGTGGGGCCTGTAGACAGCACTGAAGGGAAGCTGGTAAACAGTAATAGAGAGAAAGTTTTCCTCTCTGAGTGGAAAGCAGCAATTTCCAGGCACATCACTAGAGTGGAGCTTTGGGATTTAACAGGTACCTGAAAGTTTCAGTGATGCAGAGGAAAATGTTCTCCAGTTCTCTGCTGACAGAAATTTAAATTCCCCCGGTGCAGTATTTACTAAAAGTAATTATTTTTCATTTCTTATCTTCTTCCAATAATGCAGCACAGATGTGAACAGATAGCAAACACCTGTGATAATTCACTTGTGGGGAGTTTTGAATAAGTTAGAGGTGGGACCTCTGAGTTATTTTTGATGATGTGGTTTATTTTCTTATCTTCTACATGGGTAGGAAGGGTGAGTTCAGTTCACATCTTTGCTGCATGGTTCAGAAGGTCACAAGACCCTTAGTCACAAGAACTTTTAAGGAGTTATTGACCAATGAAATACTGCCAACAAGGATACTTATGGTTTTGACCCAATCCTTAAATATTTAATCTTATGGCCCATGCTACAGCGTAAGCTTTCTTAGCCAATCATGCTATGACCTGCAGTTCTGCACTCTAAACTCCTTGTTTACCTCGGTAACTACTTTTATTTTTTTCTGTATATTAAACTCTAAAACTCTAAACTTTCCTTTACTTAGCTTAACTTGTCACTGTTTTAAACCATAAATCCACATTCTCGCTTCTAGCACCAGGTTTGGAAGCCTTTTCCAAGGTCTCAGATCAAATCAACATTCTAAGCTTTGGCATACAGGCCCAAAGTTCTGAGCGTTCCTTGCATTTCTGATTCCAAAAAAACCCAAAGCTTTTCTGAATCTTAAGAGTGGTGTCTAGTTGCATATAACAGGTATGAACTGTGTGGAAATGGTAGCTGGAACCTCTCCAGTCACCAACCTCATGCAAAATCCTGAACCTTTTGAATCCCTAGTAGATATTATATACTGACATGCTATCCAGGTACTGAGTTTGACAGAGCTAATAATACTATTTATATGTATAATTATTGAAATTACCCATACTCTTTGGGTTTAATGGTGTTCAGTAAATTGGCATGCATAATTTATACATTGCTGCTGTCAACCATCAATCCAAATGTGAGGTAGCAACATATAAACTGAATGGCAGAATAAAGTGTTTATGAGTTTATTCAGGACAAGATCACCATAAACTATGACACTGGAAATTTTCATATCAGTTTTTCACTATTTGTGGGAAATAGAATGCTATCTATGGGATTTCATTTGTTGCATTACTGTAAAACCTCTTCAATAAACAATTTAGGAGACAACAACTACATCACTTTTCAAAA